TGTCATTGAGAAACCAATGTATTTGCCTTAGTGAGCAAATGTCTGACCTATTGTTTTCACGCGTTCGACCTGCTGTGATCACGTGACCGACTTTCGCTATGAGAAAACTGCCTTGGCCTGAAGCTGAACTTCAAAGCGACGGACTCGTCATATATTGGGTTTGTGGGAAAGTTCTGTCGTTTTCGTTTATGTACAATTGGATTCATCTCCCAAACACGAATCCGGCTAGTGATGACATCCTTTTATACTCTAATCCACAAAGATAAAAACAAAAACAATAGATGATTCATCACTAGTTGTATTAGTATTTGGGAGATAAGTACAACTGTACAAAAGCAAAAACGACAGAAATTTTCCCACAAATCCAATATGTGCCAGAGAATAATACTTTTTTTTTTATAGAGACGCGTTGAGATTTTTTTTTTTTGTCGGCAAGTTATTTGATATGAAATTTTTATGCAGTGAAAACGAATAGAAAAACGACGCGGAACTCCACTACAGTGCTTGCAGTTATTACAGGACTTAATTGAAGCCGAGTCTATAAACGAAAACGAGGTGGGGCTAATTAATGATCTCTGATCGTGATGAAGGGAGCAAGACGCATGACAGCAGTCAAGTGCGCAAGCAGGCTGCGTGTGGCAAGTGCTCCATGCACATGTGCAGAAGTGGCATGCCTGTGTTGATTCCATAAAAATGTAGACTTTACGAGGTACTTTGCTAAAATGTCCTCAACATTTCACATGTTGAACATTTTGAACAGACCTTTTTTTTAAATTCACATTTAGTCCTGTTGGGCATGAACATCTTGAAAAACAAATAAAATGTTACAGAATAGTCCCTTTACACGATTTCTTAATAAAGCGGTCAAAATGACCGCTCCGGTAGTTATAGGTACATACGTACCTTCAGCAGTTCTCGCGCTACGCGTGCAACTGAAGGCATGTCGCTACTAATTTCTTTTCGAATAAAACTCCTATGTGCTTCTGCCTCTCCCAGTCGCAAAATAAAGGTAAGGAGATGCAGTTTCATAAATCGAGCACTTAGCTGGAGGGGGGAAAAAAGTCGTTAAAACCGTGCAGAGCGGACATTAATTTGTTGCTTCTCTCCCCCTTATTTGCCCCAATCCGGCATCAGTCGACGATGGTGACAAATCTGCTGCTGAGTGCAAATCAAGACCGGTCAAGGCCCATCACTGCAAGAGTCGAGGGGTGTGGGGTGGGGAGGGGGCAGGCGGGGGCGGTTGCCTCCAATCTTTGAAAGGGGGCGGAAACGGTCGACTTGGCCCCCTGCCTCCCAGTTTGGACAGAGGATCTGACTAACGATCGGGGGGGGGGGGGGGGGGGGGGGGGGGGGGGGGGNGGGGGGGGGGGGGGGGGGGGGGGGGGGGGGTGAGGGTGAGGGTGAGGGTGAGGGTGAGGGTGAGGGTGAGAGTGAGAGTGAGAAAACATTATGCTCCTTGCCCAACCTCATGAAGTTTGGTGTATCTTTGATATAAATACAGACACAACCTTTCATTGGGCTATCATAAAGTCTAGCTAATACGTGAAGTTGTATATTAGTCCAGTGTCTAATTCTTAAATCCAGCAGGGAAGTTAAAACTGCACTTCTGCGATCACCCCATCGGTTGAGTCTCCCAAAAAATTATATTTAAGACAGATCAATGGCATCAAAAGAGGGGCCCAAAGATGCCTAATGGTCGACCAAGTTCGAATGACAGACGGCACGAAAGGTTACTGAATCGTCTATGCCTGAATGAAAACTTGGCACAAGCTCATCTCTGCACTACAGCTTGCCAAGAAACTCAGACATGACCAATGTATTCAAAATTACACTCCGAGCTTCCGGGAATTACATACTTCGAGGCTACATCCTGCAGACCTGTAGTCGCACGAGAATAATTCCACAGAACAGAAGTTGAGCATCCCGGCTGTCTACTACTGATCGCTTCATGCTTCAACAAATAAGAGTAATATCAAGCTAGCAACACAAAAAATATTTTCCACACAGATACAGACCATTTCATTTTCAATGAACTTATGAAGAAATGGCATCCACCTTCACCACCTGGCTCAGGAAATGCATGCATGCCTGTATTGACCTTTTTTTCTCATGTGGCCCATGTTTGGGATGGCTTTCTATGTGGTACAAAAGATTGAGCTATTGACGAAAATAAAGGCTTTTAAAGGGACAACATGACTATCTGGAGAGCTTCTTATCCAATGGATAATGGATATTCAGAGGAGTAGCTTTAAATATAGACCTACCCAAGGGGATCTGAGTGCCAATGTCTTGTGCAGTAACAAAAATGATTTTCTACAGAATACTAGTACCAGTATATACAATATACATACAATACATATATATATAAGTTACCAGGCAAAAGAGGCTTCAAAAGTGACTAAACTTCAAGAATGAGCCCTAACACTGGAATTCTTCACATGCCAAGACAAAACTTCAGCTAACCTTTTCTAAAACCAAATAGCATCCATTTTTTCAAGTTCAGAGGGAAGACATAATCCGGAACAAGAGGTTAATCGGGCTAAGCTGCTATTGCTAGGGTTCTATTATGTTTGACATCAGAAGGTAAGAGAGCTATATGTTCAAGAATATCCTATTTCCAAAGGAGTGAAGATTCCACATGGTTGTAAATATCTGACCTTGATAGGTTATAAAGCTGGGAACCTTGACACAAGAACCAAGCTTGTTACTTACTGAGCCATTCACCAGTTGAAACATTTAGACCAAAACAATCATTATCACAGAGCTCTACACATACACCTTGGCAAATTCATTCTTAGGTATTCACTTTTCTGCGATGTAGGTCTAGGCCTAACCCTACTTAGTCACAGTCTCAAGACACACAAGTTTACATGTCATTGTGCCACTTTTTTATGCCTTCTGCTTGCAATTCACAGTATGGGGAATAGGATTAGGCCCATAGAAGTTCATAGTGTCCCTACATGCTTCCATGTCTGCCTCCATATGTAAGGGCTACTTAACCATACAATAGTCATATACCAGAGATAGGCCCTATTTGATATTAGTCAATGTCCTTCCAGCTAGGCTAAATGATCACCTTCACCATCTTCATGGCCTCTGCCTGGAACAAACCCAGCATCAATAAGCAGGACTAGACCTTGGCTGGGCCTAAACCTGCCAATCAGAGGCAAGGCCTAACATATGCATGGGCTGAGCCAGACGAAGACCATGAATTAGTCAGGGTTTCCTGCTTGTGTTTCGATACTTCTGGGCTAGATAAATAGAAGGGGAAGGGTTAGGAGGCCCATGAGAATCCCAGGCCTAACGTTAGAATGTTTTTTCTTTTCTCCCTCTCTGAATTAGCTTGACGGCAAAAAATGGCGAGGAACCAATAATCCGACGCGCATGGAAAGGCCCAGAAGATCAGCCAAGTTTACTGAAACGTTTGAACATTGTTATTGATTTGGTTCAGGCATGGGGCTTGGCCAGGCTAACATAAGGCTAACTTTGACATGCTTCTAGTAGGCCTTTCGTCAACGAGGCGGTCACGGCCTAAAACTGCGTTTTCCGTGAGCTTCGGCGATTCGCTGACTTTCCCGAATTCACTAGTAACGGAATTTCAATGTTTTGGCACCTAATAATTTCGCACAGGCAAACACTCGGGGGAAAGTTGATGAACCAGAGAGTACAGCAACTGGGAAGTGGCTGACTGTCTGTCTAGACACAGACGGCGGCTCCTGGTATTGTTCTTCAGAATAAATCGCGGAAAATTTTTTTTCGGGCTAGGCATAAACTTATTGACGAATTTCTTCTCGTATGCAATTTGCACATCATCATGCTAGCCCTAGTTTTTGCGGTAAGTCGCAAGTGGTGAAAAGCTGGCTTGAAATTTGATTGGCATCCCTGCTTAATCATGGAGTCCATAGTGGGGAGGGCATCGTCGGGCATGGGCCACGCGGGGGGACACCGGGCCGAATGCAGAACGAACTACGACTCGACTTCAGGTCCCTTTTAGTGTTCCTTAGGCGGCATCTATTTAGTGCTTGTAGCCTAGGCATAACATCCATGAAATCACTCCTCCGACAAACCCCACAAAAACATCACAGGAAAGCCGTGTGCTCAGGGGCATCACGCTTTGGAGTTCCCTCTTTTGAATTAAGATGATCCACTACTCTACCTGGCTTTAGAATTGGCCTAAGGTGGCGTAATATAAAAATGCCATTAGCCCTTCATCTAAACCAAAGTCCGATTACGTATATTATGCTTCACTTATTTTTATTGTTTAACGACTTTACCCACCCCACGGATTTTTCATTCTCTCCTCCTCCTGATTTACAGCATTTCTCCTGGATATGGTCATGTGGTACTTCCCTCGGTATTTTCTCATCCTGTTCCCATTTGGATAGTTGTTCTTTTTTCAAATCCTGCATTACTTGGATAGTAAACCGTTCATTCATAACAAAGTTAGTTAGGGACACGTGCTATATATTTTTCAGGCCTTAAGGAGAAAAAGGTGTCAATCATAGAGCAGTAGAGCATAAGGTCTACCAGTCACATTTTTGAAAAAGTGAAGCCAACAATTCAGAGATGCAGAACCTTCCTTTTGGGGACGAGATCTTGTCTAATAGAATGGAAATATCAAGTCAAAGGGGGAAAGATGGTTACTGGAAAAGTGTTTGGATAAGACATACCACCAATTCGGCAAAGAAAGGATTTTATTATCCATGGCAGCCTGAAGAAATAGACAGATTGAAAGACTTTAACCAATTTCATGATGGAAATGAAGAATTGCTTGGCTAAAGGGGAGCCAAACACAGGAGTAGGCCCAATCCCTTAGGAAATTGTCAGTTAATAATGAATGTGTGCTGTCTGACATCTTTGTATGCTTTTTGGAAAACTGTACAATTAAAAGATCATTTGGGGATCCCTTAAGAGAAATTTAGTGCTGAAGTTGATTTATTCAGTTGTTTTAGAGCTATGGCAATGCTGATATGCTTTACTCATTGGAATTTTGCATTCTTTTTCCAGATCACCTGAACAAAGTATAGTCAAATTGAAAGGGCCAGCCTTCAGATTTATACAGAGTCATTGTTCTGAAACCTTGGCCTGTATGAAATCACATTAGCACTAAAATGGTTATCGAGTCAGAATTAATCTCATCCTTGCCACCTCCAACTGAGAATGTCAAGATTCATCAGCCCCAGACATTGGCCTTTGTGAATCACGAGGATTTGGGGAAAGGTACCCTGTATATTGGAGAAAGGTGAGGCATCTGGTCTTTGTGGCCATTCATAATACTGGGATTTGGAAGGTGCAGATTAAAAAAATCCAGATTTCAATAGGAGAGTAATTTTTCTTGCATTTTCCAGCCATTTGTCATGGGTGCATGAATCAGGCCAGCCGGTGCTTTCCTTCAACTACATGGACATCTGCATCCATGCCATCTCAAGAGACTCATCCTCCTTTCCACATCCATGCCTCTACATGATGCTGGATAATTCTTCACGCACAGAGAATCTGGGACCTGAAAATGCACGTGGGTGTAACAACAGAATATCAGCCAGACCAGTTGTTTGCCACTTTTGACAAAATATTCATATTGGCTTCTCTAGCAGAATGATGGTGAAAGTCAACATTTTCTTTTACTTTTTAAAATGTACTTTTTATTTTAAAGTCGTGTCATTTGTTTGAAACATAAATTCCCTGGATCTGTTGGCAATATACATGTATACAATTAAAACAAATCCAGACATGAGGCCATTAATTCCAGACAGATCCATTTCTAAAAGGCTGGAAATAAAAAAATTAAAAAAAGGAAACATCATTGCGTGCATGCCTGATGGAAGCCTGACTGCCTGTCTTAGGAAGACGTACTTGGTGTTTTTGTATTAGATCTGTTGTATTTCCTGCATGACCATTAACGTCTCATCATCCCATGCCATGCCGTGTCTGTCAGGACTCTGACAAATGAGGATGTGCATGTTGTAAGCATTAATATGAAGTGTTTTGAAGTGAAGCTATATTTCTGCTTGGCCAATATGTGTGATTGGTTGGTTATGGGTATCAGACAATATGGGAAAAGTCCCCATTGGTAGATTCCAAATGTTATATTAGCCCCATTTCTTCATAGATAACATTGACCGGGGTGCACTGGATGGAGTTGTTATACGAGGACCTGGAGGTAATGATGAAGAAATGGATGTTGGAGATGCAGTGAATGGAGAAGACGACGATGACAATGATGGACCGGACCAAGGAGATGGTGGGACTCCGGGTACGATGGAGGTCCGTCTCGTACCTGAGGACCCTGCGATCCTCGAGTCCATGTTCCAAGCCATGTCTGAGTGCCAGACCCTTCACCAGGATCCCAACCAACCTGTCTATGATGGTCTGCTCCTGTTCTATAATGTCTTCATCATCATCTGTTCTTGCATGCTAGTGTGGGACTGTTCCTTTATTTCAGTGCAGAACCTAAGACACTATCCTTAATTAGTGGAACACAATCCCTTTCAGCTATCATTTACAAGTTGATGTTGTGCCTGTTTTGACAGGAAGGTCTCCCTTTCGGAGTAAGATTCAACTATAGTGTTGTGTCTTCTTAATTGTGGGGAGGGTAATGCACATGAAAAGATAGTGAACATATGATTGATTTCTGTATTCTCACTGGAAGACCCATCTGCCAGGGAGTCTTGATTGTTTGTCAAAGGCTCTTTCCTTCAAAATTGTCTTGTGCATATTGAAAAGATATTGGTAATAGATTTCCTGATAGCATTGTGGGATTGTTTTAACATGGCACTTCAATGGAAGGTTCATGATTTCAGTGTATAGTCACTATTGCTTTACTGCAGAGAGAATGGTTGCAGAATGTGCTTGGTAAAAAACATAGACCTACAAGCATGACATTGTGATATCTTGCCCAATGAGGACTGGTGTATGTTATTGACAGAAGAGGAGGAGGGTGAGAATGGTGATGATGGAGAAGATGGAGAAGATGGAGATGGTTGGTACCATGCAGATGATGGGTCTGGAGACCCTGGTACTAATCCTGAAGATGATGACCATGGTGATGGTGAGTTGCCCCCGTTGCATTGTAGTGGTCAGACAAGTGGTCAGAGTTTGATTCTTGGTCTTTGAAGCATATACATGGGGGCTCATTGAAAGCATTTTGAGGTCATTGATTGAAGGAAAATATAACAGGTGAGAATAATGTGACTACAATATGGATGATGGCAGGATTAAGAAAAGGCAAACATTGAGACAAGGCAAACATTTAGGCAGGGCTGTTTGATTGTTACCTTATATTTACATCTTTCCTTCAAGGAATTATTGTTGAACTCAGAGCAGTCAAAACCAAATGAGTTAACTCTTATTATATTAGGAAGATTCCTGTGTGGAATCTCCAGTACTGCATGCTTAGAGCCTATTCATTAGTAGTTCAGCTGTTGCACCATGATAGTATAGGATTTGCAAAGAATGCTCTATTTTGTTTCATATATGAAAAGTATTTATGCTTAGGCATTGAAAACTGTGTGATTGTATAGCAGCACCTCTAGTTTTTTTTCTGACATTTTAGCCAATTTACAGGATGATGTATGCTGCAGCTCAGCCTGTGCTTATTGTGAAGTGTTGTTGCCTTTAATAGTGTTATCAAAGTGAAAAATACCTTTAAAGCAGAATTTGGAGTAAGGGAAACCCCAAGCAGATCTGCAAGGAGGAGATTAATAACAAAATTTGAAGATACTGGAGATGTGAAAGACAGTTTGGAAGGTCGTGTTGGCAGGAAAAAGACCATTAGGATGCCAGTGAACATCCTTCAAGGAATGTCTTCAAAGAATCCTTCAACTGGAAGGGTTGTAAACACATTCTTATAAACATGTTTTCTTGTGAACATGTCTGAGCAAGTATTTACATGGAAGAATAAGCTTAAATTTTGTTTATAGAGGTTTGTATGCAAAATATTGTAACATACAAATTACACAATATATAGTATCCTTTTTTGGAGGCTCTGTATCTATGCTCAACTGTGAATTAATTGCTCATCATCAAAGTTTATTAGCTGAATTTTTATTAACTTTTATTTTATTTATTAGCTTTTTTCATATGTTCTGGAAATTAATGGATTTGAAATTCTAGAGAGTTGTGCAGCTTCCCTTGTAACCTGTATCCTTTGTAGTTGGCTCTGAAATACTGAAAAAGAAAACTTTCCTTGGTATCAATTATGCTGAATCTGTAAGGAAAATGATATGGAAAATATCGCAGGCATTGGTTTGATTTCATTTGAATAAATTGGATGCTGCTTGAAGGCAGTTCCTGCTTAATATCAGGTGAAGGTGTAAATTGGCCTTAACACAAGTAGGTGCATCAACTCGTCAGGGTTGTGCCTTTTAGAGGCTAATTATTCTACTTGTCTGATGCCGTCCAGGTTATCCCGGTGGAGCTGATCCTGTGGACACAAACAAGTGACTTGAGTCATTAAACTCCTTGCAAGTGAGATCTCAACCATCTCAGCTGTTCCTCTTCAGCACTTCAATAAACTTTCCACTGAGCTGATTTGCATCAGATCAGTGGGTTTTTTTTACATATTATGTTTCATTTTCTATCAAATTGCAGATTGAACTGGTTTTTTGTAAGGTGACTTTCACCAGAATTCCCATAAACCTACTTCAGAATATGGGGGCCAGTTCTTTATTTCTTTTGAATGTTTTGTGGCCCCATCTAGAATCTCAACAGGGTAGGGAAAAGTTTCTCACCCCTGCAGTTTTGAATCAAATTCATGTGTACCATTGAGACAATAAACTTTCTGTGGGGCTCATCTGGTAAAGTATCAAGTGTCTCTTCCATTGTCACCCAACAACCGATGATATACTTGGGAAACACAAGTGAGATAAATATTCACAGATCAATTTCTGATCAGGATTGGCAGGAAACCTTGGCTTTTAAAATTAAGATTTAAATCAGAAATGTTTCCATCTTGTTTTTTTTTTGCAAGTTTCTATTGCAATGTTTCTTACATGGTATCTTCATTATCCATTGCTGGAGTGGGCACAGCAATGTTTATGTTTGTATGGTGTAATAAAAAATTCCTCAGCCTCACCGTAAACAATTAAATGACTCCAAATAGGAAATATATTTTTGCTCTCTTGCTTGCATGATAGATTTTACCCCAGATATGACTCACTGCTAATAAACTATGACACCCTTGCACTAAAAACAAGTAAAAAGTATATTCCTAAGTTTTGGTCTGCCTGGTTTTGGTCTGGAATGTCTGCCGACAACATAATGGCAACTTCATGGCAGTTTAATGCATCCTAACTAGGTAATTGGCTACCATTTGGTAAGCCCACACAGGAAAACTCGCTCGGCAAAAAAATAGCATCCATGAACCTACATTTGGAAGAGTTGATTTGATTCAATATTTTTCAATCATGTGATTTAAATGACCCAGCCATATTTATGGGTATTTTGGAATTCCTGCAATTCCACTGTGTTCTTTGTTTTTTTTTTTGCATTAATGAACAAGAACAGGTTGAGTCAATAAATGTGACACAACTTACTCATTTCCCTCTTTCCGAAAGTCGGAAGAAAGAAAAGCAAAAAAAAAACTGCAGTGCGGTCACGTTGTTCCTAATAACCACCTTCGCTAATATTCTTTCGGGACCTTTACATGATCATTAAGGATCTCATATTCGTAGGAAATCTCCCACGAGTACTGAACTTTTTCTCGATTGCTTCGAACGGAGGCGGACCTCGCTTCAGTAGAGAACTGCGCGGTCGCGCGATTTCGCACTGCAGTCGACGCAGGTGCCAATAATTTCACAGGAAGCACATCGCTTCACTAACGTTTCAGAATTATTCTCGGCCTCGATCCAAGAACGTATCTTTCCGCGTTCGTGCGTTTCCCCCGACGCAACTAGAAAAATAATAATTGAAATTCATGGATGAAACCAATGGAAAATAATCGGGAATATGAATCGCATCCAGACCTTTCTTGGAGATTCATTTCATATCATCTGTGCATCTCGCTCGTGGAGATTCAACAGTGGCTGGGCCGAAAAAATAATCATTAAGGACTCCACGACATCCAGTCGACAGATTCGCAGCGCGAACTGCTGCGAAGATGCGACGGCAAGTGACGATTCCGTCGCGAAGCGCGCTGCGACGCAACGCATCACCCCTTAGATCCCTGCGCGGAACGGCTGGACCCGACCCGCATCTCGCGTCCTGCAGCTTAGAGCCCCAACCGGGCCGGCCCGACCCCCGCAGCTCGGTTCGCGACGTAGAAAATGAAAGGACGCAAAATGTTCAGTAAAACGATGGCAGAAAATTCCGTATCAGAAAAGTAAAAAAAAAATGCTAAACTTAAATGAATTTCGAATTAAATGAATGCCCCCCCCCCCATTTATTTACGCGCTCGCCGAGTCGTAAAGCGAACCGCTTCATCGTAAACGGTGACTGCCTCGACGATGGAGCTCCGCGGATCGGCCGCTTCGCTTCGCAAATCCCTAAATAAATAAATCGCATCCTGATAAAAGTAAAAAAAAAGACAAGTTTCTCACTTTTTTCTGTTCTCGGCCGTTTCCTCGTTCACAACTTAAAAAAAAATAATTGACATTTTTAAGTCATATGAACACGAGTTTGACAGATCTCATTTCCCAACGAAATGGAGGAAATTTCCGAAAATTTTCCTTGTGAAAACTTTTTGCCACATTGAGTGCTCAAGCGTCCACTTAAATTAAAAATGGAACAAAATCGATTTTCAATCGATACGTTTCCGCTCCCATAGATCCTTACGGTCTTCACAAATTCGCGTCGCCCTCGCATGGCCCTCGCCGTTGCCTGCAGCATGAAGAAAAGAGTTTTCATAAAAGTTTTCTCATTATTGCCACGCACAACGAAGGCGTGCATGACAACGCGACTTCGCATCCCCTCGCGTCGGATCCCATCCCCGCTCGGGCGTGAGGCTTTCCGGGAAACCCGGATCTCACCCCGGGAACCGGCCTCGGAGAGGGGTTTCTTTCCTCAATCTGGAGCCTCTCGCGGTGTCGTGAAGGTGAGCGATTTTCCTCCTTTCGTTATTTTATTTTATTTCACCTTATTTTGCTCGGCGCTAACGCGGTTCAACCCGAGAATTAGCGAATAAGTTTTTTGAAAAAGTTTATTAGATACTTCTCGGCGAGATAACGGTCAGGGGAATTTAATTAAAAATATTATATACTGATTCAAACTTTTCCCGTCGACGCCGTATTTCTCGTAGAATTTTTTTCTTTCTCCTCCAAATTTGCTCCGATTTCATTCTCGAAACGTTTCCGGGCGCAGAGCTGGATCGTTTTCGACCCGGAACTGAAGGGAGTTCAAAATTATTCGAAACATATTAAAACTTATTATCATAAACTTACCTCTCTCTTTCCTGAGAATAATCGCTAAATTTTTTTTCTACCAGTTTGAAAAGTACTCTCGCTCCTTTCTGAGAGTGGAGCGAAAATCGTTCGAGCCGATTTTTAAATTTCGTGAACTTCATGGACTCCCACCCCGAATTGTGCTGCCCTCGTGGTCGCCCTCGTTGCTTCACCCGTCCCTTCGTTTCTTCCTCGCTCTCCGTCGAGGGCCGCAAAGCACTCTTCGGAATCGTGCAATTTTTTTTTCTTCATGCTGCGTTAATGTTGCTCTCTTTCTCATCCTGTGGCCGATCCATGGAGGGGGGCGGGGGCGGGGGCGGGGGGCGGGGGTGGAACTAAGGAACTGCCCTTTCTATGAGAAACTTCCGTATCCGCCACTAAGCTCATCTCTCTCTCTTCCAAATTTACCATGGATTAAACTGATTTTTTCGGGGACTCGCGCCTTATATTGTGAGTGTGTTCGGTCTCACTTCTGTCCTCCAAATCGATGAAGTGTCGGATTACAGGGTCGCCACCATTCTCAACCTTTTTCAGGGATGTCGTTCCTTGGAAATCGTCTCTAATTTTGTCTCGGGACCTCCACTCCCGACGCCATCGACGCCTTCATCCATTTCTTGTTTGGCTCCTCATTTCATTTTTTTTTTCTCTCCCTCGCCCTCTCTCGCCCTCTCTCTCCCTTCTTATTTTCTCTGTTCAACCAGTTTCTTTTTGGCGTAACGATACCATTTCCTCGACTCACATCATGTCGATTGACCTTTTACAAGTGCTGAATATGCATCGACCACTCCGATCTCCTAGTGAACACCGCAATGAACGGTTAAAAACGCATTATGAGCATCCTAATGAACGGTAACAAACGCCTCATGAACATCCTAATAAATGGTCGTAGAGTCCCGATGAACGGTCCTAACGAATACGGCAGCCTTAACTCGAGCTTCTCCTCCAACAGATGAAGCGTCTGGTCCTGTTTGCCTTGTCCCTGGCGCTGCCCCTGGCAGACTGCTGCCAGAAGGGCTGGTACCTGTACGACAAGTACTGCTTTTACTTCTCGACCAGCACCTTACAGCGGGTCGGGGCCGAGGCCGCGTGCCTTGCGCAGGGCGGCGCCGCCTTCGCTCAACCGCGGGACGACGCCGAGAACTACTTCATCGGGACGCACGTGAAGCTCGCTTTCAATTGGATGGCTTTCTTCAATCCCGCGATCTCGACCGACTTCTACACGATCGGGAACTTGTACACCAGGTTCGCCGATTCGTCCAGCACCGGTGAGTCGCCCTTCTCGTGCTCACAGGAAATGGATAAACGATTAAATACGTTGCCTTTTGCTCCTCGAACGCTGCTTTCTCGAGTGTGCATGAAAAATGTCATGAGCAGGACTAGGGTTTTTATGTAAGTGCATATATATATATATATATATATATATTTTTTTTTACAGATCCTTTAGTTTTCTCTTACTCATGAACGGTACGAATTTGAAGGAGGGTCTGCATGCAAAATATAATTTACCTTAATTTTCTTTATATCGATCTCACTGAATAAAGTTGCGTTGTTCGAGTTTATTGCATCTTTTTCCTGGTACGATGAAAAGCGAAAAAACCTCTGGGACGGAAGAGAAGGGGAGGGGGGAGAAGAAGGGGAGGGGGGTAGGAGAAGGGGAGGGGGGAGGAGAAGGGGAGGGGGGGGGGGGGGGAAGGGGAGGGGGGAGGGTATGGGACGGAACGGGAGAGTTTTGCCTGAAATCTTCATCCCGTCTTGGGTGTTGTGTTTGATCTTCTTTCAAGTTGTTGGTTGCAGATTGCATCCATGAATCTAAATTGAAGCGAATGAATGGAAGTCTTTCTCGTCGGCTTGGATGCGCATGAGATTAACCCATGCCTATATTGGCGCTTATTTCCATGTACTTCCATGCGCAAAAATACTAAGATCGCAAAAATACATAAAGTCACTTCAGTTTTTAACAAATTACGGGGGGCTGAGCATGTCACAACCTGTGATGGTGAATGAACGATCGTGGTGACATTGTGATGGTGAATAGTCTCTTCGGTCTTCAGGCAGAATGAAATTCAGTCTCTTTCAAGCAATGCACATTCCATCAAATGGTGCAATGTACTCGAGAAGTTAACCATGTGAAATGATAAGTACGGCAAAAAAAATTAATGAATAATTTAACATTTAATGAATAATAATTAGCACAAAATTCGCTAAAATAAAATTAATGTTGGCTAAATTAATTAACATATAGTAGCAATGTGTCAAGGACAAATACCCTTGGCTCTCGGTTATATTACTGGCACAATATTTCTATGATGTCCGCGGTTCGGAACAAGCAGAGTTCCGATCAAAGGACAAAAGTGACTTTCGTCAAGGTATCTTGACATTGCTGCAACTTGTTTATTAGGACAAGCCCAAGCACGACTTCGGGGGAATGAGGGAGGTAATCCCTTTTAATTAGAGGAGTCAAGTCCTTCAGAGTTTGCTTTGTGCTAATGCGGGAACTTGATTAGGACCGAGAGTGATTCTTCTGTCATTACATGTGAAAATTAACCCGGTATGTTTCCAATGAAGAATGAAGCGCTATGCCTAATAAGTAAATAAATAAAAACATAAAATAATAAAAACAAATGAATGAATGAATAAGATAATAAAAAATGGAAATAAATAAATAACTACTGCACATAGACGTAGCGGGGCACACGATTAGAAAATGTGAACTTGGAATGTGGCATCCTTGATTCCTTCATTGAGTGTTTTCTGCCTTGGGTCCATCCAGTCGGAGCCACGTATATGTTCCCGGACGATTGGAGGAACGTGGACTGCAGCGAGAACCGTGCGTACATCTGCGAGCTGACTGCCGCTGTCTGCCCCACACAGTACACGCAGGTGCTGGGGACTACGAAGTGCATCATTGTCAACTTCCAGACGTCCGTGTCCTATGCATCAGCGAAGAGCGCGTGCGAGGCTCAGACTGGGGGGACTGCCGGGCGCCTGGTGACTATCAACGACATCAACACCTACAATACGATCAAGAAAATCATGGAGAGTAAGTTTTGGTGCGCGGTGACCGGTGTGGATGTTGTGGGGCGAGGTGCACAAGGTCGATTCAGTTGAACCCGGTTTCTCAAGTTTGGTATTGGGACTTTCTGGGAACTTTCACCGGAACCGAAATCAAGTCGATCCTGTGCTTTCTTGACGCGGTTTGGTTTAGACTTTTTTTCTGCTTTCCTTTTAAGTGAAAGCGCGAAGATAGGCTTCACTGATTCGGGATGTGCGAATGAATTTCAGCTTAAAAAAAAAAATGTGAAGCTGTGAAGAGTTGAACGACGAAATTCGTCATAGTGGTATGTCTAGTGCTTTATTCGGGCTCATAAGTCTCCTTCGAAAGCCTTCATTGGCTCAGGGCATATTGTATTTAAAAATCAGAACGGAACAAATGATAATAACCTCTGTGTAGGAGCGGTTCGTACGGCGCTGAAGCGCCGGAGCCCCCCGGAGCGCGAAATTCTGAAGAAAAATCACATTTTTAGTCACCAATTTTAAGTCAGATTTTTGTTTCAAAGGGTAATCCTTTCCCAGTTTTGAATTGCACAAATTTCAATTCAGAACTGCACGTATCTGTTGCAACTGCACTTCAAAATATGCCCTGAATTAGCTAAACTAAAATCATGGCGTAGATGTAGGTTTTAAATCGAGAGTGGGAAAATTATGGTTTAATTTTAAAAGATGGAATATGAGGCCACTATAAAAAAAAAAAAAAGCTTCGTGCTTAAACGCGCATGCTTTGTGTGCTTTTTTTTTAAATCTCTCCAACAGATAAGGCAACCCAACTGAACTCCGATTCGCCCCAGTCGGTCGAATACTGGATCGGGCTGACCCGGGCGGACAAGAACGGCGCCTGGCAGTGGAGCGATGGCTCCGCTTACGGCTCATTCACTCGCTGGTATTACCAGCCCGGCAGCGGGGCGAAGGAGAAGCGAAGCAACTGCGCCTGCCTCTTCCCCTCGCGGTGGAGCGTCGTTCCACTCCCCGATGCCAGTCAGTATATCCTCCTCACGCAGAAAATGGGATACGTCTGCCGGAAGTACAAAGCCCTGTCCGCCGCGCAGGCCGTCAGCGGTTTCTTCACCTCGCTCTGGAGTGCCTTCACCCAATTCGTGACTGCTTAAAATGGAGGCTGTCTGCGAAAGCACTATCTGCAAATACACGAGGGATCATTGAAATTTTGTCGATTTGCACCAATCCTTCCTAGTCCAAATGTATCTTTGTCTTATTGCTCAGGCATCACTACCTCTGAACATGTAAGTGACGTCAGTCTGATCGCGATTCCGATTGGTTGAATGCAAAGTGACTGTTGACGAATCGGAACGCTCGACCGTGCTGTCATTCCATCCTTGGGGATTCATCTCGGAATAAACTGTAGTTGTAGCAAGTGGTGTCGTTTCCGTCTTTTCACGCGCTTGATGCATGCAGAAATATTATTTGGCTTGCCGATGTTCCCCTGACGACCACACAGCCCTCGACTCTCTCAGGACATTCCAAGCAATCGAGGAATAACACATCTCAATGAAGAAATGTGAAAACCAGGGATAGTGCTGAATCACGTGCAATAGAAATACATGAATGAACGATGAAATACATGATTTACACGAGCTTATCCCGAGCTAAATGTTCACAGATCATGAGATAAACTTAGCCTAACGTCAAAGGAAAAAATTCACATCACAACAAACATTTTTTAGATATAACGGAACCACTGATATTGGGCGAGACTGACTTGCAGTCATGACGGCTACCGAGCAATATGAGAAATAGCGGAGTTCCGACGCGTCATATAAAGATGACGAAGACAAGGGCGAAGGTGCTAGGGGGAACTTTCCCCTTGGTTAACCAGAATTTCACCTTTGAGTCTCATCTCATCTCAAGATCCTGCTTGCGGAGGAATCATTTCCCCAGAACTTCAGATAAAAATCGGGGGTTTCACTCTTTTTCCCCTCTCCGAAACTGTCAGAAGACCCTTCGGGTAAAGATTAGGTGAAAAAGTTGTTAAATGTAGGTAAACGAGGGGGTAACGTTTTGTATGGGAACACCCTCATCTCCTTGATTGCATAATAAAAATACCATTTAGACTGTAAACTGTTAATGAAGTTTGGGTTGAAGTTGAATTATTATTTTTATTTTTATTTTTATGTATTTAATAGTAATAGTAATGATTTTAGGGAGGTTCTATGATCATGGGTCAGGGGTCATGTTTTGTACAGCTATGATGAGAAGAGATTTGTGCGGCTACGCATCATTCGCTCATGCCATACACACTTCCTTTCGCTCACACTTTCAGTCAATCGCTCACTCAATCATACTCTCATGCATTCACTATGAAAATATGGGGGAGTGTGGTCGAGTGACTTAGCTTGGGTCAGGGGGGTGCTTGTAGTCATCCTGGGTTTAGGGGTTGCTGATTCTGTAGTTCAGGACAGCTCGGGAGAGCTAGTCCTGAAAGGATATGTACAACACATTTTAGGCTATGATGTAATGCAGGTTAAGAATGCAGCTGGGACAGGGGGAAGGGGGGACCCTGACCATCCTCCGCTCTACGGTCTAAGTTGAATAAAGGGTAGGTCTTTACTCTTTTATGCTTTCTGAATTTAATTTTCTTCTTGCTGGTTACCCTGATATTGTGGATATCTTCCGGGCTTCAAAGTATTTAAGTGCAAGTTTGGAGGCGTACTGCTGCAACGGCTCTATTTTGGACCTTATCAAATGCGTTTTCAACATCAAAAAACAGTGCTAAGAGGGGGTAGTTACGGTTACCGGCATTCAGTACGTCATTTTGCAGGCGGACAAGCTGGTCCGAAGTGCACATGTTGCGCCGGAAGCCGGCCTGGGCCGGATGGAGGATGCCATTACTTTCAAGGAAAGAGGTTAGCCTATCTGTGATTATTCTTTCAAAGTTTTTTTTTCCCAGGACACTTAGTAGGCTAATAGGCCGGTAGGACGAAGGTTTACTTAAATCTTTTTCCGGCTTGGGTATCATTGTTACTAAAGCCGACTTCCAGGTTGAGGGAAAATATCTGTAGGTGATGCAAGAGTTGAAAAATTGAGCTAGCAGTTCATATAGTTTAAAAGTACCTTTCTGGAGGGCTTTGTTATAAATTTTATCTGGTCCTGGGGCTTTATTAGGCAGAGGCAGAATGGTTTTAATTATTTCCTCAATTGTTATTGGGCCAAGGAGCTCATGGAAGGGGGGGTTCTTTGTCTTCTACATTGGAGGGGGAAAATGAGTTAATTAAGGCATCTAGTCTTTTCTCCACCATGGATGCATTTGGAGGGAGAGAGGAGGTGGGAGAGATCATGGTGGCACCCAGGGAGGCCGCAAAGATGTCGGCTTTTCCCTGGGAGGTTGTTGATGTTTTCATGGTGGAGAGGCCTAGAAGAGCTATTGTTAGACCTGCCTATTCTTTTAAACAGTTACCAGAAATTTTTGGGATCAGTTTCTTCATCAAGAGAGTTACAGTAATTGTCCCAGTAATCATTAGCATCTATTTTGAGTTGAGAAGAGATTTCCCTGTTGAGGTCATGAATGATTCTCTTGAGGCAAGGTGAAGTGTATCAGGGCCTTAAGAGATAAGAGACGCGAGAAACCGCTTTTCCATGACGTGGCACGTTCTCATTGGTCGCGAGGCGGATGGAGCGCTCTCATTGGTCGCGAGACGGATGGAGCGCTCTCATTGGTCGTGGGGCAGATGGAGCGCTCTCATTAGTGGAAAGGCGGATGGGACGTCGCATGGCAAGGCCCCAAAACGATTTCAATTTCGTCGGCCTGAGTTTATATAATCATCTATACTCTATTTCAGAGTGGTTGTGTGCCTGTCCTTTAGGCACGGCCGCGCCTCTGATCCCAGTCCGACCAAACTTTATACGGTTTCCTCATTAGGTCCGGAGATGGTCGTAGGCTAGGTGGCGTTTCAAAATTCTGATCCCCCAGGGTACCTTATTTAGAATATATTCAGTACATATTTGGCCGATTCACTACTACAGACCCTCCAAAGGAGTCAATATGTTGGGGGGTCAGTACAAAGTTACTGTTACCCCATGTTACTAAATAAAATATCCGTTGCACCTCGCAGCGCAGTGAGTATATTATATGAAAGGATTCCATGGCCCTGGAGAGAGTTCAGAGGCGGACATTTCAAATGATAACGGAGTGAAATTTAATACGGATGGAGAGCAGAAGCGTTGAGGAATTCACTGGAAAGGTGGGGCATCCTCATCGGGAATTTATCATTTTTGCCAGAGATAACGCGGAGCCTGAGAGATTTCGTACAGATCGACAGTAACAGCAGGGCGTGAAGGAACCAGTTCACGTTGTGTATGCTTCATGTTCATGCTCCAGAAGGGGAGCGGTCTCTTTTTAATAGTCAAGAAGGTTTTGGTCTAAAAAGAGGATAGAAGCCATATTGGGAAAAAATTGTTCTGGTAATGGAGCTCATGGTTGACAAGTTCCTGACAAAAATATCAATGATAAGAGTGGATGAAAAAGTGGCGAGAAATGACAATGATAGAAAACCTCTAGTCGTCCTTGCCTGTCATAGATCGTAATCGAGTGAAAGAAAAATGATGGGGAGATTCGTTCACCGTGCCACTGCTTCAAAGACGGAATATTTTTTTTCGCCTGGGAATGGCCGCTGAAGGATTCCTGATCCACAAAATGCTACTCTGAAGGCGGATGCGCTTCGCCTCGAGTTCCACTGTCACCTATTCGAAATGCCACTTTCGCGAGACTGTGCGCATGTTCGCTTCCTGCTGGGGACTACGACGATCCAGGATCCTCCTACGTGACATTGGGAGATGTGATATGCATATCAAAATAGATTTAAAATGAAGATTGACTTTAAAGAATCGTGAAGTCCAATGAATCACTTTTCAAAATCTTTAAAAAAAATATTTAATCATGCGAGAAGGCAAGCTTTTTTTTAATTAAAAAAAAAGGAAAAGCGAAATGCTAGGTGGGAGAGGAGATGAGTCGAAGTCGAACGTGCCACGCAGCCCTTTCCGGTCTCCTTCGCTCCCTGTGTCGAGAGGTCCAGTCCTCACCCAGGAGGAACTTTCTACGCCACCATGAGGATCTATAAGGATATCTTCACGGGTTGGTTTCGTTCTCGTATTCTTTGAACATTCCGGTTTCGGATTCGTCTGTTTTCGTATGTCTCCAAGCCTTTTTGCTGACTGACTGACTCACTGGTCTCGTTGGGCCTGAGTTCTTGCCGATTTTGAAACATTTAACTTACTCAGTTGGGTTGGAGTGGGCCTGCTTGAACCTAACGGGCTTTGATAGGGCTTTAATTTGCCCTCGTTTACTAGTAATTCCTTAATAAGTCAGACAGACTCGAAATTGGTTTGAATCTTCTTGACCGACATAGCCTCTACGTTTCTTATTACAACGACATGGCAAATTTTGTGTTTCAGGGGACGAGATGTTCACCGACTCCTTCAAGATCAAGTTGGTGGACGATGTCATGTATGAAGTTTATGGGAAGGTGAGCTTGGCCTCGATTTAAAAGTCTAGGTCTATGGAGGAAAGGCCCATTTAATTTTGAGTAGCTTGTGTCTTGAATCATGCATTTTCCACTGGCCCAAGCATTCAAAACATTTGGTCTCACTCTATGGGCATGTACCCCACTGGTTCAGTCTATCACACAGCTAGGCCTACTTTTCGAATATATTTTAGTTGCTTGGAGGAAACATTGCCTAGGCATTGGGCCTAGGAGGGTTTCATTCTTGGACTCTAGTTGCATGTGGGAAGTTCATTATATCCATGTTGAGCACACAATTTGTTGACCCTGGCTGCCATGTGTGAACCACCAACGCCTGCCAGCTGTAGCCTTTCTGGCTCTCATCCACTCTTTTCTGATTCTTATACTTTGCCTGGAAGTTCCTAGAGGAGGTGGGTGTTGCTTACAATGTAAGGGTGTTGGTGTAATGCAAGAATATTTTCTGACCATGATATGCATATGGCCCTTGGCTCCATGGTGTGTAATGGTCTTCTGTGTTCCTCAGTGTTGCCTTTTTTCCCTGTAGGAGTGGGAGAATTGCTGGTTTGTGGCTAGCAAAGGTAGCCTGGTCCATCATTTTGTCCCATCTTAAGTGTGCCAAGAGGTCATATTTCCCTCTTGACAGTGATGCCATTCAAAGATTCATGTGGAAGGTATCAGAGCGGTGGGTTCTCCATCTGCTTGGTCTTATGCTCCAGAAAGTGTGTAGGGATGGGGGGTTTGTTTTTGTTCCTTCATTCAGGTCACAGTCTTTGCACATGTTCTTGTATGCTGGAGCACCCATCCCACACTTTTATGTTCACCCAATACATATCTGTCCTTATCCATGTGTATACTGGCTCAGGTTACTAGTGTGACATGTAGTTCATGCCTAAGCCCTCGCTATTTATGTTGTGCTCATGTTAATGGAATATTGAGAATATTTTGGGGCTATGGCATTTGTAACCAGCTTGATGCATCATATATGGCAGAGGAAATTGCATACTTTAGCCAGAGATGCAAGTTAGCCTTTGCATTAAATATAGTGGCAGATGCTGTGTAGGCTTGCTCCATCTGTTAACATTCTGCTGCTTGTAGGAAATGGTCAGGTACCATCTAGTTTCTGTTGTGAATAGGAGGCCAAATTCCATTGGATTGAATCTTTATTATTATAATTGTATGACTCAGAAGAAAGCCCAATATGAGTTACATGATAATTCATTGGCACCATGAATGGTGCTCCATAGCTACTTTTGGCAACTCTGCTTTCCTATCAGATATGAGCTTTTATGAATATTGATAGAGTCCTGTATGTTCTGATACCCACATGGTGAATCTGATACTATTTGCATGTGGGTGGATTACCATTGCAGGTCATACTTTTTTTTCTGTCCAGGCTCCTGTTGTACAGGAAGAGATAAGCACACTGTCGCCTTTCACCTATCCAGAAGAGATCGTAATGAGATCCATCGGTAATCTTACTTGTTTGAGCCTAGGGAGGCTTGGAGCCTAGTTGCATGGCAGAAGTTCAGTAATCCATATAGTACTTTTTTGGCATTTATGAAATTTGAGCTTTCTCAGTATTTAGATCCTTTGAAAACAATTTTTTTACTTGTTTTTTTTTTAATATTCCATAAAACCTTTATTAGTTGGCATCAGTCAGCATTGAACTTATTGGAATCAGTAAGGTCTAATTGGGTCAGTGCTTTCTTTGCATTAATACCTCTCCAATATCTTTGCAATGGTAAAATGAAGTTTTCAATGAGGAATGTTTGTGATGCAGCTTGTGATGAGGAAGCAAGGGGAGATTGTGCTTACCGGCTCGAATCCATCAACTGAGGAGGCAGATGAGGGCACAGATGAGGCAGTGGAGTCTGGTGTGGATATTGTGCTCAATCAGAGGCTTCAGGAGTGCTATGCTTTCCCAGACAAGAAGTCATACACTGTCTACATCAAGGAATACATGAAGAAGTGGGTGGATGATTGGACTTTTTCCCTTTTTTTTGGCATTACAATGCATCGTTTCCTGTCCTGATTCAGAATGTGAGTATTAATGAGTGCCCTTCCTTTGCAGGCTTTCTGATAAGCTGCAGGAGACCAAGCCAGATGAAGTGGAGAAATTCAAGGCCAATGCTCAGAAGGCAGTCAAGGACATCCTGACAAAATTCAAGGACTTGCAATTCTTCACAGGTTGGCTTAATTGTTCTGCCTAGAACTTGAAATTTTGTAGGGCTCTTGTTTTTTTACCCTTTTTAAATGTCACTGATGACCTCACTGAACAGTTTTTTGGCAGCCTCTCTGTAGGTGGAAGTCTAAAATGCTGAAATAATTTTTTGTTTCCATTTCTCCAGCTACATCTGGAGACATGATTCAAGTATTAAAATATATTATTGCATCATCACTTGCATGGAAACAAAGAGTTAGCTTATAGTACGTTTGTATCTACTGGTCCTTTTAATTTTCAAGGAAAATAATTTCAACTTGAAATTATTAAAAAAAATATTAAGTTATGCATTGCTATTGGTTATTTTCAATGATTTGTAATATATTTATATGCTGCACCGAAGTAGTTGCAATTAATGCTTCATATTCTGTCAAGTTCTGTCTGTCAAGTTTTAGTCAAATTCAAAATAATTTTCTCATATCATCCATTCTAATTCCAAACTGAAGCATTGTGAGAAAGAAATTGTTAGCGACTGCTTAAAAAATGTTTTTTGGATGAGCAGATGATTTATTTTTACATGCATTCTCACTTATTTAACTAACTGTATTCTGAAGTGTTGGCTTTTCATCCACTTGTGTATTAGAATTGAAGTGGTTTATATTGCAGTGGCTTCTTTCAATTCCCATTTTAAAATTGAAGATACCTGAAGTAGTATCATCTCTACAATTTCAATCCTGCAAGATTGTTCATGCAACAATGTTCCTCAATATTAGTATGGCCCATAATGAGTGACATTCTGGAATGGGATTCAAGTATATGATTGTGGTCATGTGTGCTTTGCAGGAGAGAGCATGGACACAGATGGGATGGTGGCGATCTTGGAATACAGAGAGGTAGATGGTGTGGACACTCCCATCATGCTCTTCTTCAAGCATGGCCTTGATGAGGAGAAATATTGACTTGGCAAGCTCTTATCATGAATGCTCTCTCCCTCTCTCACCATTCTTTTTCCTTGTGAGTTCACTCCTTCCTGCATTCACATTTGATTTGAAACTGAATTATGAATCATGGTGTTAGGGAGTAGGGTAAAATCATCTAAGTTCGAACAGTACCTAAGTTTGGACACCATAAAATAGAGCATTTGCAAGATCACCCTTGGAAACAGCTCTTCCAAGCTGCAAGGAACTGTTTCTGAGGGAGAGTTCACCTATGCTTAGTTTTGTAGTGATGTACATGATGGTGTCTCACTTGGATGGCTTTACCTTTTTGGTTTTTTAATGTCTGGTATAGGTACAAATTGACAAATGTGATCGCCAAATCTCATGGCTGTTCCTGGTAATTATTCCTATTGCATTTTGTCTGCACAGTTCAAGATGTGGTGGTTATATTACTTTGGGAGCCTATCTTATTCAGAACTTTCCATTTGCCAGTGCATGAAGACTGAGAGCTATTGATTGCAATTATAGATGGAAATGGTATAGGTTTTAGTAGTTTGGGTTTGTCAATGGACATTCCCAAAATAGGGTGAGATTGGCCAAATTCTTGAGGCTAAATAATGAGGGAGGCAGGTACAAAAATTTGAGGACTCCCTCTAAATTAATGCAACAGTAGTGATGCCAATAAAAATAACTGCACATGGAGCCATGCATGTTGGAGATGCAGTAAGAATGGAGGCACTCCATGCATATCTGAGATGTCGCTGTCAAATTAGAATTTTCTATTGCTCTCGACATGTTGCAGTGACTTGACAGTACCCCATTTCCTGGCTAAGGTGTGCTTTTCTTTGCATAGCGTTCTCCTTACTATGCTCTAATACTATGGGTGTTCCAATGAAAAGGGGACTTGTTCCCCTTTCTTAGGCTACTTTTAGACTATGATTAACAGCTTTTGTCCCCTTTTCATTTGAACCCCCCTAATACAACTCAAGTTTTCACTGGGCTGCAGGGCATCATTTTTGTCCTAGAATGTGGTACTGAAATTACCTTGCATTTTGTCGTGTATTGAAGTATATTTTGGAAGTGTCTGTATTTGACCAGTCTGAGATGATTTTTGTTTTGTTTCTAGGATACTCTGCGGAGGAAGTTCATCCGGATCTGCATGATTCATCGTCTTGTCGGTTGCTTTCCACTCAGTTTTAAAAAAATTCTTTTTCAGCAGCTGTTTTATCCATCATGTCATTCTCAATGTAATGTAATGTACTGCCTTTGAAGAGTATTGGAGAAGAGAATAAATGCTTCTAAGCCTTTTGTTGAGGTGCATGATTTGCAAGGTTTGTCACAGTTTTGATTTTCACTGGTATGTTTTGATCATCACGTTGAATTGTGTGTTATATTAGGTCGGTGACAGTTTAAGGGGGAGTGATTTAAAGGGTCACTTCTCTCTCACCAAAAGGTAAATGGCAGGTTTTCCCTTAAGCAATTTGGCTTCCAAGGTGCACTTTCATCGGTAATGTGTGGCATTTTTATCGTGCTCATGATTTTTTTAAATTTCATGTGGAGTTGAAATAACTTGTGATCATAGGGAGTATTTCTGGTAATTATCATGTTTCAATGTACATTCTGATATATGATCATATCAGAAATAGGATGTTGAAGAAATTTGTGGGTCTGTTAATCTCATGAAGTAAGTCTCCTGCAGTAAAAGCTGTTCGAAATGAATTTCAGATTCAAATTCCTATCCTGAGCTCAAGCCCCCAAAAAAGTTGTCAAGAGGAGTTTCTTTTTTGACCGAAGAAAATGTGAATTGCCTGTATGGAAGTGAATTGTGGGATATTTGCCATTGAAATTCATTGAGTAGGTTGTGAGGTCCCTGAGGTTATGCATGGTTGGGAGAAAGAATTTCGGAACAATTTCTTTATTCATCGGGCGACAAAGCGACATAAGAGATTCGAACTGCTTCGAAGAGTAAGAATTGCGTCTTGCAACCGACCCCAGCTGTTCAACCGGTTTTTGAACCACTATCCAGCAATCAACGTATCGTGGCAACCCCCATTGCTGTAAATTGTAGGAGCAAGGGTGAGTCGTTGTGCCAATGACAGAAAAGCGTGTGCTCCTGCATCTACAAATCAGTCTTACGACTCGTTAGTGCATTCATAAATCGGCTATAAGGATCTGGCAGCACTGCCGATGCCAGCCGAGCGGAGGCAGTGCGGCGGGGAGGTTCGAGCCGTTTCGACTCGCACTGCAAGAAGCGTGAGTTTTCTCATCTCGCACTAGGCTAGGCTAAAAAGTCATTTTCAAATGCAGTCGAGAAAGTTGGCGTCATTTTTCTCTGAAATTCTTGGGAGCAAGCCCAGCGTTTTTATTTTTAGTTTTATCTCTCTGAAGGAGAGGTAACAACGATCTCGTGCACGCAAGAAAGCCCTCTCGATTTCTGCTGCCGTGCTTGATTTCTCGCACGCATGAAAGTGAAGCGTCACGAGAAGTGCTTCCCATTATTCGACTTTGTCGTGGGCCCTTGCCTACGCGTTTGCGGTCTCGACTCTTTCTCTAGTTCGGTAATCAAACCAAACTTATTTTCCCTAAGAAATAGGCTTATACCTCTACAGACAACCTTAGTAAAATTTATCTCGGAGATGCATTGGAGTTTTGAGTTGCTCGAGAACCCCCTTCGCCTTGGCAGCCGAGTTTCCCCTACCCTGGCCCACTTGGATCATGAGCCAAAATTTGCCATCGAAGGGGATCTGCAATTGGCAAGGAAACTGAGATTCCTCAATTTTTACAAGAAATCGTGGCCCTGGAATTGCGCTCATCCTGCGATACATAAATACTCGCAATGAGTTGGCGTTGTACGGTGTGAATGACGAGTCCCACGGGATTTCCTCTGTGAGTCACAAACTCGGAAATTTTCTTTGCGAACTTGCCAGCCGACAAGCCTGTTCGGACTCCTGAACAGGCACCGCGGTCCCCTCCCGCACATGCCCACCTCCGCACCGCAGAGAAGTCGAACCGCGCAGGCCTCCATCGGCTGCAGCCACCTAGCGGCCGCCGCAGGAGTGGAGCCCGTATGGCGGCGGCCAGGCCTCACAGTGTGGGCGTTGTCTTTCCCTTAAAGCTTCGCGGGGGGTCAGGATTTAATACCATTTGACTCCTTCCTGAGTGATCCCCTCCCGTGAGAACTCATGATGTCTCTGTCGGACGAGGAGGACAAGCCTCCCGCTCCTCCTGTTCGCCTTACCAGCAATAGGTAACCCTTTGGATGAACTTGAAAAACTCCAATGAGGCCTAGCCGAGATCAACAGGACCAAATCACTATTCGATATTTTTTTAATTCGAAGGAGCAATATTAAATTGTCGGTTCGTGCTTACAGGGATGCTATCCAGCAGATGCCCATGGATATGAGGCCACTTCCCAAAGAACCAGAGGGAGAGGAAAGAAAGAAAAAATTCAAGACAAAGATCAAGGGGACCTATCACAAAAGGGAGAACGAGAAGCCCAATATTTCCTATCCTACAAATTTTGAACACACCGTACACGTGGGATTCGACCCTGTGTCTGGAGAATTCACGGTGAGCAGTCGAGTGTAGTTATGATGTGTAATGTAGCCTGGTCTAGCTTGTGCTGATTATTTAGGTTATTGGGTGTTTGCTCCCAAACTACTTTCAGTGGGAAGAACAGTGGTTCCAGCACTTATTCCCTTGTTGGTACAGTATTTCTACCATTAAGATGGAGTAGGAGCACTGCTCTCTCAACTTGAAGTGTTACTACAAAAGTAAGAGGTGCAAGGTAGTAAGGGCATATCATCCAATACCTCCATATATTTGCTACTCTCATACGAGACCTGAATGACTTTCATTAGCTTCCATCTAATGTTAGGCTTTGCCAAGCAAGTTCTTTAATGGCTTATCTCATGACTTGCAGAGGCTAGTGATCAATTCTATCAGTGAAAGTGAAAAATGGAGGTGGATTAAGCCGATGCCTATTGGATGAGATATAAATCCTGTACACCAGGAGGAATCTATGAATTGAATAAAATTTTTGCTGTGATTTCATCACCCAGAGCGTTTTCAAGCTTTCTTGTGTGTGCTTTTACCTACAATTAGCCCATGCTAAGATTATCTCCATGCTATTATTTCTTTCTGCTTCCAGATGCCTTCCAAGGTGAGTCAAAATTGCGTATCTCCCCTCGGTCCCGAACCGTTACTTTTGGCATTAGATAGGCAGCAATTTGAAGAGGCATAGAGCAAGATTGTTTGTATTTCCTTGTGATTGATTTTGAATGTCTTTGAAACAGGGGATGCCAGAGGAGTGGATGCGACTGCTGCAGTCGTCTAACATCAGCAAGCAGGAGCAGAAGAAGAACCCTCAGGCCGTCCTCGATGTCCTCAACTACTACGACAGCTCCACCAAACATCCGCCGCCCACCAAATACATGACCACTGCTACCAAAGTTATCGGTAGGCTCTCTTTTGCTTAGGTTTCATACCTACTGACAGAGCAAGATAAGGTGTTATTTCTTGGGCTGCCTTCTTTCTGTCAGATCTTTTATCAACATTAGAATTGACAGATAGGTAATAGAAAGCATGGGCAGATGGCTTTGGGTTGATTAAGTATACTTTTTTAGCATGTCTGAGTTATTTAGTGTAGCAAAATGAGTTCCTGGTCAGTTTTTCTGGCTCATACCTGGTTTGTATGAAAGCACAATTCCAGATCAACTGGAAACAAACATGGATTCCTGTTAGCATGTGAGGGCCCTAATGCTTTTGTGCTTATCTTAGGCATAACTCTAAACCAGTTGAGTTGTCTTATATTCTGGAATAGGTAAGTAACTGAATTTTGCAGTTCTTTGAAATTCTGATGTAACTTTTAGGCCTTGAACTCAATAATGGTGCTTTTTGGACTGTGTGCAATGTTATGAGAAATGTGGAGCCCACAAGATTTATTATTTCTCATGCTAGCCACGTGATATAGTGGGACCCTCTGTTCCTGCTATGGAGGGAAAAGGGGGTGTTTGAATCTCTATGGAGAGTGTTTATTATCACTCTTCTCCCAGCACAAACAGCAGTTCTTCTCTATAGCTCTCTTTCAACCTATTTTCAACATTAGTCAAGGGGCATAATTTTCAGTCCTGTCTTATTTCATAGTCCCCAGCCCCTATCCAGAGTCATTTATGTTGATCCTAGAGCAATACCAAGATGAAAACACCCTAGTCAAAGTATTTCCATGTATGTTTACAATAGTTTGAATGGGATTTTTTTTTTTAGGCAGGGAAAGAACCAAAGGAGTAATGTAGATTGGGATAGGCTATTTGCCTCTGCTTTTCCTAATAGGGTTAATGGTGCACTGATGAGTCCATTCAAGACAAGTTGTCCTTTTCCACTTTAGACCACTATGTTCCATGCATGCTGGAGCGATTCCAACCCATGCCTTCAGGGCACCCACACCATCCCAGTCCGGTGACACCCCCGACGACATCTCCACCCTATCTCTACTTCCCCAACCAGGATGGGACGGGGGATTCTTCATCGACATCTGCCACCACAACAACAGAGGAGGAAGAGTTGCCTCCTCCCCCCATTGCAACACGTCCTGAGAAGACTAAATCCATTGTGAGCATTCCATTCCTTTATAAGCATGCAAATATAAAGGCCCAAATGAGCCTTGTCTTTGTGTTTCCTATTTGGGTCTGTATTGGACTTCTTGGGTCTGTATTGGACTTCTTGGAATGTAAAGGTCTGGCCTCCTATTAATTCTACAAGTTTAAACAAAGAATATAAGATGATCCAAGCTGTATTTTAATCCACTCCAGAAAGAATGAAAATTATCCAGTAGTCACTGACTTAAAATCGATTCTTTATGTCTGCCAGCTTTTTTAAATATTTAATATTTTTCCTGCATGCCTTCAACTTTGAAATATATGTCTCTAGTTTGGGTCTTATTTTGAGTGAATTCTTTTGCAGTACACAGCACCAAGAGATGAGGACCCTGGGAAAGCAAGTAATGGGAATATCCTCTATGACAATAATAAGAATGCTGCCACCCCAATTGCACCTCCTGCTGGTGAGTCCACTCCATTCCATTTCATAGTGAGAGCCTTCTCTCCATGAAAATTGCTTTCTCAGTCAACATTTCTGAATTTCTTTCAGTTGCAGTTACTGTTAATATTAGCATTTCTTTTTCAGAAGGCTTTTAAACATTATTAGAGGAAAGGTTTTGTGTTGGACTACCTCACATCACATAACATTTTCTGGAATACTCTGAACAGAGTACATTTGGTCAAATAGTTGAATTAATGTGCCTTCTTTTGCATTTAGGCGTGGGAGAGAGGCCAAAAAAGAAGAAATTGAGTGATGAGGAGATCCTTGACAAGCTGAGGACCATTGTTAGTGTTGGGGACCCCAAGCGCAAGTACACCAAGTTAGAGAAAATTGGACAAGGGTAAATCTTCTTCTTCTCATTTCTGGTTCAGTAGGGAGTAATTTGAATTGAATAAAATAAATATTTATCTGCAGTGCTGATGTAAAAAAAAGTAAATATAACTTATCATTGTAAAAATGGAAAATGAAGGATGAGAATAAAAAGATAAAATATGAGAATTGGAAATGAAGACAAAATAAACTCTGAAGTAAAATACCAGTAAAAGGAGAAAAATACATGTCAGTCTGCTCTGTCCTTGCTACATTTTGAGTTATTTCAGTTTCCTGGCTTGTACCTTAAGCTTCACCTAAAATAATGGATAAAATTTTTGTTTCAGTTACAGATGCTTTCAATTATGGTATGAGTAATAGAAAACCTTTTAAAGGATTGACAAGGCATATTTAGTGGAAACTTCCTGCATTTTATTAACTAAGGCCAAAGCTTTTGTTCATTGAGAAAGAGGTATTGTCCAACTAATTTACTTCTATTCAAACATGCATTTTTCAAGAAATTTGAACTGGCAGGTGAGAATTAGTGAATTAAAATTGTGACCCTTCTGTTAGGTCTACATGACCAGATCCAGTCCAAATTAGGTTAGGTTCCAAATGTTTCAGCATCCACTAAGTCAGGATTGGGCATAGTGTGGTTTCTATACAAATCATAGTTTTTTCTTATTGTCTTCAAAGCTGGTAACAGTTAATAAACTTTAGGATATTTTATACTTCAGCATGGAGGAGATGTGAGAGATGGAAGTAGGCATTAGCAGAGAATGACACGAATCCCCATTTTGGGATGGAAACATTTTGCAGAGCCTCAGGGGAGGTGTTTACAGCCCTGGAGAGTGCAACGGCACAGGAGGTGGCCATTAAGCAGATGAACCTGAGCCAGCAGCCCAAGAAGGAGCTGATCATCAACGAGATCCTCGTCATGCGAGAGAACAAGCACCCGAACGTAGTGAACTACTTGGACTCGTACCTGGTTGGGGAGGAGCTGTGGGTGATCATGGAGTATCTACCTGGGGGGTCCCTGACGGAGGTGGTGACCGAAACTTGCATGGATGAGGGGCAAATCGCCGCTGTGTGTCGTGAGGTCCTGCAGGCGCTCGAGTTTCTCCACCGTAGCCACGTCATCCATCGGGACATTAAGTCGGACAACATCCTCCTGGGCATGGATGGTGCAGTAAAGCTCAGTACGTCTCTTAACTCATTGAACTCATCTCTGAACCTGACCTGAGATCATGTCTTCATGTACTAGCAAAGACCAACTGAGACCATGCATTATTGCAAAAGTCTTGACAATTGTCATTTCACTCCTGCATGGCAAATCCTGCACTATCTGGTGGTGCAGGCTAATTTTAGCCAAGTGTTTGTGAGATTGCCCAGGTTGTTCCAACTATACTCCTATTTTTCTTTTCGCCCCTCATTCTTTCTTGCCCTTGAATCAATGGGGAGGAGAGAGATTGTGGCAATATAGGGATTTGATTTCAAAAGAGTGGAAATGGAAAAAGAGATTTGTCTTCATCCTCACAATGTGTGTGACCTTTGCAGCGGACTTTGGGTTCTGCGCCCAGATTTCCCCAGAGCAGAACAAGCGGACTACGATGGTGGGCACGCCGTACTGGATGGCCCCTGAGGTAGTCACTAGGAAGCAATATGGACCCAAGGTGGATATCTGGTCCCTGGGGGTCATGGCCATTGAGATGATCGAGGGAGAGCCTCCTTATCTCAATGAGAATCCACTTAGAGTATGTTGGAGCCTTCATTTTTCACTCAGAACTGTCTGAGTTCACTTTTGGCTTCATTCCCTCAGCATGTATTTCAGACATGTGTTTTTTATTTCTCAATCTTGTGAGTTGATGTATTGCAGGCCCTGTACCTGATAGCAACAAATGGTAAGCCAGAGATCAAGGAAAAGGAGAAGCTTTCAAGCGACTTCCAGGACTTCCTTGATCGCTGCTTGGAAGTGGAGGTCGAAAAACGCGCCTCTGCATCCCAACTCCTCCAGGTAAGCTGATCACCTCTCGTTTTGTCATTTTGATCTTGCTTTCATTCCATGCCCTGAAAATCCCATGACTGTGGTAGAACTGCAGGTTTCGTATGGTGATAAAAGTTAATAGCAGGTTGCTTGCAAAGCATGTATGTTGGCCTAATGGCCTTTCATCAATTGGTTGCATGCTGAGGATATTGATGTTTTGATTTCTTCCCCAACTGAAGATGTTGCCCATTAATCTGTTAATAGTGTCAAGGGAACCTGAATACCATGACTTGGGCAATGATGTCTGTGATTGATTGAGTTTGAATTATATCAATGAAGGCATGGCATGGAAAGCCTTGTATCTATGCAGGTGATTCTTTGCATGGAAGTGTCTTGGACTTCTAGTTTCTTGTATTATTTTTCATTCCTGAGGAGCCTCTGCACTGTCATTTATATTGGAGCACTGCATTCTGGTGGCCATATTGTGCAAAAGAAATGGTTCCATATGTTCTGCATCTGTTCAGATTGACAAGTGCCACTAGTATTTGAAGCACATCTCTTCAAATTATTCTACTTATTTTCTCTTCCTGTCTATGCATTGTTTTTATATATTATGGTTGCTTTTTGCATCTTGATGCTCATAGTGCTGGCAGAAAGTAAAGTGCAATGGGGTTGTAGACATTTTTTTCTTGAAGATAGTAGTCATACATATTGCAATAAAAAAAAATAAGGAAAAAGTTTGGATCTCATGGATGGGAGTAACAGCCGCTAGTGTCAAAAAGGTAGCATTAAGGGTGACTCAAAAGCAGAAAATCTTTTTAGTGGAAAATACTTATTTATGCAAGTAAAAAGTATTTGACAAGTTTTATTATCAGGGGAAACAAGGTACTTTTGGTAATGTCCTTCCAATCATTCAATGCATCTTTTAACTTAAGTCCTGTATTGAAATTTTTTGAATATTGAATCTTGATGAAATATTTTTGGCTTCTGAAAGACTATTTTCCAATAAGGCGTTATGAAATAATGCCAGTATGAAACTCTCAACATTCCTCCAATTTTCTTTTTCTTTCTGCCACTTTTGGAAATTGATGTTTGTCAATTCCATGCCATATTTTAAAAATTTGTAATCCACCTGTCCACATTTTCTGCCTCAAGATTTAAATGTTTCATATCTTGTGCCAGCTGCTCTTATCTATCTGGAGAGATAAGGTTGGAGATATGAACCTGTATCTTTTAGAGGTTGAGCAGAAGAAAAATTTGAAATAAAAAATAAACCAAGAAAGCTGAAGTTTATAATGGTATGGTACAATATGGAGCAAGATTCTTGTGGAGTAAAAGGCCAAAAGCAAGGAAGTAAGACTGTGGGACATGAATAATCTGCATAGACCTAAGGCATTGAAAAGCATGGAGTGCCTTTCCTATCATGTGAAGTGATTCAGGTGAAGAATTGTGTATTTGGTGATGGAATATAAATTGAATCCCCTCTTTTTGAATGTCTAACAGCACCGGTTCCTGAAACAAGCAAAGCCACTGTCAAGCCTCACGCCACTAATAATCGCCGCCAAGGAAGCGGCCAAAGGACACTGAAGGTCAAGGTCACTTTTAGCGAGCAGGCCCACTGCTCATCCCTCCCTAGTCAGTGCTTCCCTCATGTGACACAAAAGCAGAATCCTTGCATTCCACCACCTACATTTTCTGTGTGTTTGGTAATCCACTCAAATCTTTGTTTCTCCTGATGCTGATGGATTGATCCAACTCCAGTCATGCTGAATCATTTGGATGTCTCAAATTTCATTGTTAAAATATCTCCACAGATGCTAATCTGAGCTTTGCTTTTGGAAATACCATTCCAAGTGACATCTGCTGTGGTGAATGATATACAGTATCTCGTTTTTGTATGCAACATAACTTATTCTTTTGTTTGGTTTGGTAGGGTGGGAGGAAGAATGAAAGAGAAAATGCCTTGAAACACACCTTGACCTTCGATGAAGGTCCTAGCCTTCTTATATCTTATATCTTCCCATAAATTGAACTGAGGGACAAAAGAGAGGTCATTTCATGTTCACCTAGCTGTCTGCTTCCTTCAAAAAATAAAGTGATTTCATATGATGCCAATGTTTTACTTAGAGTGCATGGATGGATGTCTGCTCAATCATTGATGTGGCTGACAAGGGGAGAGATCTGCAGACCAGACCTCTCTTTAAGAAATGATGTTTCAGGACTTCATTGATTTAACTAGTTGTGGAGATTATCAACTGTCAAGCTGAAGAGCTCCAGAACATCTCCTGGCTGACACTGAACAGTTAGGGTGTTGAGTAAATAGAAATCATCACAATCCAGACCTGGTAGAATACGTTGACCACCAAGGTGATTTGGCTAATTCTTTTCTATGGTGCCATATGAGGTACTGATGTGTCATACAGCAGTCAACACGTCAATATATTATAGGAAAGAGAATGAGCAATTGACAGTAAAAAATTGGGATGAGGACTTTTAAACTCTTTTGCTGCAGAATATCTGAAACTTTGCTTTTCTTGTGGAATTAATTTAATCTTTGCTAAATGGTGACTATCAGAAACACCACTAAAAAGAAATGTATATAACAGGATGCATTTATAAATGCCATGAAAAAGTTGAAAGACAGGCTTGTTCTTTTTTTTTTTCATTTTCTTTTCACAGAGTTTGAAAATGAGCAGGTTTTTCATCAAATAGCAAGACATGTCATACATACACGTTACCTGCACAAAATAGGTATATTTAACCCACATGCCTTTTCATATACAGGAATTTTTATTTGGGGGTCTGGAATTGTGCAAAGATATGGTAGAGCGTGCTGCAGATCCATGTATATACAGGGGCAAAAAAAAAAGACCTACGACTTTCAGTCTAAATATTTTCCCTCCCAATAGTTATTTTTGTGAAACTTTCACATTGCATATGAGTATGTTCCAATTGAAACCTCAAATTTGTTGAGCCAAAGTAATTCTATCAGCAATTATTGAAAGGAAGTTAGACATTGAGAATGGACAGGAGCTCCTGCTGGTAGTGCCTACCCTCCTGCTTTGCTGCCTCCTAGGGATGGGACTTGAGTGTGTCCTCCACTCCACAACCAGCAGGAACTATAGTCCATTCTCAATGTCTAACTCAGGGGTGTCTAACTCGATTAAACTGGGGCTGGATGGAAGCCTTCAGGGGTGATTAGGGGCCACAAAAAAAATGTAACACCAGATTCAGCCTGTGGGCTGCCAGTTTGACACCCCTGGTCTAACTTCTTTTCAATAATTGCTGATATAATTGCTTCGGCACAACAAATTTGGGTGAAATTTGAAGTATCAGTTGGAAACACTCATATATGCAATGTGAAAGTTTCGTGAAAATAACTATTGGGAGGGAAGTATTTAGGTTGAAAGTCATTCTTTTTTTTGCCATACCCTATATATGGGAAAATCTACAGAATATACATTCCCTGGTGTGATTTTCAGTATGTCACAATACTTCAGTCACATTTTTCCCTTTCAAACTGCATCAGTTTTAAGCAATAAAGATATGGTTGTCATGGAATTAAGGGTGTGTTATGATGGCAACTAAATTTGTGCCCGTTGTGAGGAGATGTTCCTAATTTTAAATATAAAATCATGAAACTCAATTTTTTTAGTAGTCCAACAGCCTCAAATGGTGAATACAAAACTAAAGTTTATTCTTGATTACAAAGCACCAAGATCAAATAAAGCATGGAATCCTAGGGATATTGATATGAGGAACTTGTAGAATACTGAAACTATATACTTTCATTACTTACATGTAAAAAAATAAGAAGCACCTTCAGGAAGCAAAAGAACAGTGCTATTTAGAACAAGTCTAAAGAACATATTTACTGACTTCAGGACTTCCCACTGAGCATCAAATGAAGAAGAAAACAAGAAATAGAGAAAAAGAAAAACATAAAAAATGCAAAATACCATCAAATAGTGAATATATCAGTATGCACAGGGCAGAGACAACATCTCAAAATAATTAAAAGTTTTTAAATGTTGTGGCCTCTTCTTATCTGCTTTCTGCAAAAATTTTCTGAATTTCAATCTATGATCATAATGCATTTTTATAGGTACTGAAAGGTAGAAAGTAAACTCTTCTATCTATGCATTCTGGGTAGCATAATGAACACCAAAGGAAAAAAATAGTATTCCTCATCCTCCTCCTCAGTATCCCATGGGCCTTTTTGAACCTTTTCTTATCCAAATGAAGGGGCAGATCACTGGGCAAAGAGCTTATGAGCTTAGTACATGAGCATCAATTCTTGATTCTTTGTGCCTTGCAAAATTAAAACATATGTAAAACTTTGTCACTGCACTGTAGTTTTAAACCAAAACTCATGGTTATAAAAACTCAAACCGAAAGATCAAAGAAAAAAAAAGCACCCAACATTGAGCAGTAAATTACTCTGAATTCCATGTAGGGAACTCCCACTAAGAACCTCTGCATTCAAAGGTAAATAAGAATCCAAGATTCACATTACTCAGTTGGGAACAATGAAACATGGAATGAGTCTGAAGTAGCATATTCTAGTCCAGATAAGAACATGTTTTCATCTAGGCTTCAGCAAAAGAAATTATTTTATATATGGAAATGAAATGGGTAAATGCTTCATATCCAACATTAATTTTTTTGAGGGGCTTATTCTTCAAGACCCTTCTTCCCATGAGATAGGAGGTGACGTATCAAATTATTCTGTCGCATGCAGGCGAACCCACACTCATTGCACACGTGAGCTCCAACCTTGTAGTGAATCAGGATGTGCCTCTTCACATTGGATGGGGCAGATGATGTGAAACTACAAAACTCACAGAAGTATACTTTCCTTCCAGCTTCAGTCAAGGATGGTCCAGACCAGATATTCTTTCCCACCAAGATGATAGTCTGTAGGAGATATGACTGTAAATAGTGAGCTCTACTTGCAAGATCATGTTTTTCCACTTTGTTGCACATGCACAAATTCTGGATCCTGGCATGTGTGCATGTAAAATCAGCCCATGTTACTAGGTTGTTAGAACATATTTGGACCTTAAATTTATACTAAGTGGTCCAAAAAAGTACAGAACATTATATGCTTTCAGATGGTGTACCATACGAGTTATTGATAGGATATTTACAGGCTTTTACATGCAATGTTAGCAGGTAATGTAACAATAATTTCATTGAAATTGGTGGTATATTATGTAACAATTTTTCTTATGCATTGTCAAAAGAGCAAGTGTGCAAAGAAAAGTGCCTGTCCTCGATGAAATTAATGTTTGATGGGTCCTCCATGGATGCATCCTCTGATGATCGCCCGAGGCAGAATGCCAGCAAACACACAGACACACTTGCTCATTTAATGACTTGTACAACAAGAGCTCTTACTCATATTCAGAGGAAGGAGTTTCATTGAAATTTCCCTGAAACCACATAGATATATTGGGTATGACACACTGAAAATTACAAAATGATGCTAAACATGGTGTCCTGTTTGCAGACACAAGACATTTTGGACTTTTTTTTGGATGACCCAGTATTTTGAGAAATTTAGTCATGTTTTCTGCAAGGACTTTGCAACCTATTACTAGTGGCAGTAAAAATTTTCTCCTCTCATGACTGGTAAGAGCCAGCAGAAACATGAACATTGTTTGTATTTTTTCCTCTGTCAAAGACTGATGCAGAATCTTTGCTGAAATGTTCATATTTGTTGCTATGATGGTTTTGTCAATCTGGATGAGACTTCCACAAAGAGCATTCAATATTCAAGCAATAGCATACAAATTGAAGAAGATAAAAACTCAACCTGGAAATTACATTTAGGATTCAGGAGGAGCTAGATACAATACAATGCAATAAGGTACCAGGCAAAAGAGCCGCTGGTCCCATAACAGCTCCTTGACTCTGGAATACCAGCTAAATCACCCTCCTTCTTGTAATGTCAGCTAACATAGGTGACCTTGGGAGACTCAATTTGATCCATGTGGATACTATGGGGATACACCACTTAGGTTTGGTGTAAATCTAGCCATTCTTTTCCCCGACCCGCGGTCCCGGTCTGCAAGACCGTGGACATCGCCATATCGATCATTGGCATTGTTTGGTTGTGAGATAATGCATTGGTTAAGCTTCAAGTATTGAATGATTAATATTGTAATACACTCTATGTAACTCTAAAGCAACCTTTAAACTCATGTTATGAAATTGAGAGACCTGAAAGTTAATAAGTGCTGGTGAAAGCGAGAAATGGATCAGGCAACCGGGAAGGAAAATCGAGGAAGCCTCGGAGGAGCTCTTCCGGAGGGAGTATGTTTTGGACCTGCGTGGAGGCAAGAGGACTTGGCTTTGTGCTCATCGGCCATGTGGTGTGAGACTCTACTCTTCGATCTCCCAGCTAGACTCTACTCTTTGATCTCCCAGCTAGACTACAACTACATCTCTTCGGTCAGCTACCACAGAGACCCTTTTTTATAGAACTTTGAAGTGCAAGGGCGACCGGCCTATCCTCTCTGCGGCCCAACACCTCCCAATATTTTATGCCTTTCCCTTCTTGCTCTACCCTCCCGGGGTAAAGAGCCCAGTTGCCTTATC